AGGGGGGAAATGGAGACATGGATGGGCATGTACTGAGGGGTGAGGGTGACCAGAAAAGGTGAACTTTGCGGAAGGCTTAAGGAAACAAAAGAGCATGCAAGTGTTCTGGGAGGCAGCCCCAATCATAGGAGACAGCAAAGGGGAAACGGGCAGAGTTCTTAGACTTCTAAAGGGAAAATAGACTTTTATGCCAGGCGTGAAAACTGGACCTTTCCCTATCAACATGCTTAATGCAACAAGCTCTACTCAAAATCCGCAATTCGCTGTTGTAAATGGAAGCACCTCAAAGATAACATCAACATTTTTTTATTTGCAAACCCCACACCCTACCCCAACCCTGTTTCATGCGGGGAGAAGGAATAACCCAAAGCGTTCTCTGACTGGCTCTCTGTTTTAAAGTGCCTCAGCGAGTAGAGTGCCAAGACAAACATGGACCACAGCAGCAAGCAGGGATCTTATTACAGCAGCTGAGCACGTCCAGAGATGCTGGTTGCTGCCCCTGGGAGGGGTGAGGGAAGGAGAGATACAGAGCAGAACCACAGCCCAGTATACTCTTAACACAGTTTCATTCTTAGATGCACTTCAACAGCAACAAAAGCCCTGTTTTGGGCAGTCTCTTGTTCTGAACAAGGAAGCAGCGGGGGTCACGAGCGAGGACTGGAAGGCAGAACCTGCTCTTTCCTCCCCAATGAAACCCAGAACAAGTCACTCTGTAAAAGTGGGGAAGTTTTAAAATGGCATCAAGGGCATCGGGAAAGTTGCAAGGAAAGACTCCAGAAATGCAGGATATGGTTAAAAATCCAAAAGGGACTCTACTGGAAATAATACCCTTGTCAGCTGCTCGAGAAGGAAGATGTAGGTTTAATGAATGCACTGGGAGACCATGAGGTTTATATTTATGAAATCTTTCCTTCGCTCACCACTGTTTGGGCTGGCTCATGCCGTCATTTGCTCTTACACAAGAACAGCTGCAGTCCATCTTGAGAAGGCAGCTTTGGTGAGGAAACATTAGCACGAACTGGGCCGTACGCAGATAAAGCTGCAGAACTTTCCTGTGATGGCGGCTGCTAGAGGAGACATTTCCTGCCAACCTAGCAGTTCGGAAGCACGTCAAAGTGCAAGTAGATAAATAGGTACCGCTCTGGCGGGAAGGTAAACGACGTTTCCGTGCGTTGCTCTGGTTTCGCCAGAAGCGGCTTAGTCATGCTGGCCACATGACCCTGACAAACTGTCTGCGGACAAACGTTGGCTCCTTCAGCCAGTAAAGCGAGATGAGCGCCGCAACCGCAGAGTCATTTGCGACTGGACTTAACTGTCAGGGGTCCTTTACCTTTACCTTTAGAGGAGACATTACGGAGCAAGGGCAGAGATGGTTGTTGATTATCTTTGGTTAAAAGGCGGCTTCACACAAATCGCAGGCAGACCCAAGGCCAAAGTCAGGCCGCAACTGTTCTCGGGCAGGGGAAATCGTGTGAGCTTGTCTTTTCTGCTGCAGAATAATGCCTTTCTAAAGGTAGGTAGGTTTGGAACTACACAGCCAATTATCTAACTATTAAAAGACCCCCGCATCCTTACAGTGTTCAGTCCCACTAAAATCCATGGGTTTCACAAACACTCACTGTCTGTGGAGGACAGCATAATAATAATCCCCGAAGGCAAGCATGGTGTTTTGCCATAGGCAGCTTTGTGCTTTGATATATACCTTGAAAGGCCTCTGCATCAGCTGTCAGGAAGAACAGCAGGGATATAGCAGGCCTCTGTATCTGGCTGGCCTTAAACATCTCATTTGCATTGCTGTTAACTGGGGTTTTCTGTGTTTGCTGTAATGAGCTTCCTGCATGCAATTATGGCTAAACAATGCTGAAGTAACTGGCACACTCCAGGTAGATGGAGAGCAAATGCATGAAGCAGGGCAGCCTTTGTTCAAGGCCAGCTCTATGGGTCCCAAAATAACATTCAACAGCAGCACAAGAGCAATCAACAATCACCATTATTTATGTGAAGGAGGGGGCAGGTTCATTTTCTGCTTCCTGGACCAAGGTTGAAAGCTAGGATGTGAAGGTATGATGGCTTGGGTGACACAATGCATAATCAACATAAATAATTCACAAAATGTAGCCGCTGCCAGGAGCCCAGATGGTCTTAAAGAAAGATTCGATAAATTCATAGCAGATATTTATGGAAACTAGCAGTGATAACGAAATGGAACATCCATGATCAGAGGCTCCATGATGCTAGGCTCAGCAACTAAGAAGGGCCACTGCAGGGCTGGCCCAAGTTATTTCACCACCCGAGTCTCATCACTACATCCCATGCATCGCTATCTGCTCAGCACAAACCCCAAAGCCTTGTACAGCCTGGCAGCTGCGTGACCAAGCATTCCACAGTCAGGCTCCTGCCCTGCTGGAGCACCATTAGTAGAACCAGGTGAGAAGCACTCTTGACAGGTTGTGGTGGCTCACAGCATGCTGCCAAGTCATGGATACTACTTTTGGCTTTGCATGGCAGATACTTTCAGATGCTGCTGCTGCCAAGGAGTAAAATGACCCCTGGATGGTTAAGTCCAGTCGAAGGCGACTATGGGGTGTGGCACTCATCTCGCTTTCAGGCCGAGGGAACCAGCATTTGTCCTCAGACAGCTTTCTGGGTCATGTGGCCAGCATGACTAAACCGCTTCGGGTGCAACGGGACACCGTGATGAGTGCCAGAGAGCACGGAAATGCCATTTACCTTCCTGCCAAAGCGGTACATATTTATCTACTCTCACTGGTATGCTTTTGAACTACTAGGTTGGCAGAAGCTGGGGCAGAGCAGTGGAAGCTCACCCCGTCGTGGGGATTCGAACTGCCGACCTTCTGATCAGCAAGCCCAAGAGGCTCAGTGCTTTAGACCACAGCGCCACCCGCGTCCCTTCCACAGTGCCAAGGAGTACACTCACAGCAGCACTCAAGCGGTGCTGCACAAACTCAGGCAGACTGTGGGGTTGCTCATTCAACTTCCCTTCCCAATCCACCACCTAAGTATTGCCAGGACCAGCTCTGGACTGTAGCTTTCATGAGTTCCACAGGACAAGGAGTAGCCGCTGTTGGAAACCGAACACCAGACTTCATGAACCTTTGGTCAAATCTGCATAGTTTTTCTCATTTCTTAGGAGTGTGGCTTACAGAATGCTTATTGGTTTGGACTGCTTGTATGATTTTTATGGAAGGTAGCACAGGAAACTCGTTTAGGCTGAAGAGCAGGCTGGGAAGTGTTTTCATAAATCATTAAATACATGTCAAAACAATCAGTCTCGTGTAGCCCTCAGGTGCCATCAGTCTCAAAATTATGGGATCTGGTTTGACAATTTGCCCCATGAAACCTAGGGCAGCCAGATGCAAAGGACATAGCTCCTGCACTTGCCATAGTTATGTAGAAGAGGGAACTTAAGCAGGGAATTATCAAGCCAGGTGCACCTGCTGAAATTTAAAAAGAGCCCTGATGGAGCAGGCCAATGGCCACAATTCTCTCTTCTACACAACTATTAATTGTGCCCTGTTCTCATTTGTACCTGCCCATCCTAATGGCCCCACTAGCTTACACTGTTAAAATCCACGTTCTCTTAGCATGTACATTGCCAGCAATATCTCTGCACCGCTCCATCCATGACTTCCTAGTAACGCTTGGACCTTTCTAGCTTCTCCATTACCTCCAGCCTGCTGAGATTGTCCAAGCAATCCACACCTTTTGCAGTTGGCTCAAACAGGAATATAGGCATTGAGATTAACAATACAAATTGATCCTCTAATCATGCATAATGCTTTTTCGCATCATGTGCTTTTACTGTTTGGGAGGAACCTTCATCTGACGAGATATGGTGAATGTACATGTATGGAACTGATGTGGATATACGGAGAATTCTGCGAGTGAGTACTCAACAGAGCTGCTTTCTGCATATCCCACTCTTAAGAGGAATACAGGTGTTGCTATGTAAGGCCCCCGGGTTACTGCTGCCTGGTGTTTCCCTTTTTCTCATCAAAGTCATCTTTTAATTGCGCTGGGTCAAGTACTGCTTTCCTTTGCTAACTATCTTTGTGTGCTATGGCACGGTGCCCATAACTTAATTGTGGACTTGTGGGCCGGCTTATTAGAGGAAGACTGGTAATGGACAGGAACTTGAATGGGAGGTTTCACATTTCAATCTGATGAAAGAGGTTGGATTTTGGTCCTGAGCCAGAGATGCACAGTTGTATTAACCAGATAAAAAACTGAGAGATCTCGTCCCACTGTAGTTGGTGGGAAAACAACAGCAGTGTTGTTTTCAGTAAGATCACCCAGATCACACTTGCAGTGGCGGAGCTAATGATGTGCAGGCACATGGCACTCTGTCCAATCCATGGCATCTTCAGTTACAGAAATTCGGATTTCAGGGCTGGGAAGCCTCCTGCCTAAGGCCCTGGAGAATTGTCTGAAACATGCTTGCTGCTGCTGGCCCAAGCTGAACATTTATATTAACATTTAGAGGCTGCATTTCAGACTAAAAGGATCCTCCAAGTGACATACCATATACTAAAGAACAACAACAACAACAAAAAACCTATTAAAAAACCAACAAAATAAAAACATTTACACATTAACACAAAAAGGGTACGCATACCATTTTGCCTGCTCTATATACGTATTTGTAAATACTGAGTTGGTTCTAGACTTAGCTGTGCTTACTCTTGAGTGGCTAATTAAAGTCTCACTGATTTCAATTAGCCTATTCTAAGCATAACTAACTCTGGATCCAACCCCTTACCTAAATCCAACTTATTTCAATGGGTCTATTAAAGTGACCCCACCACACCACTTTAAAATTGCTGAGGATCTTGGCAGATCATATTATTATTATTATTATTATTATTATTATTATTATTATTCCCTTTGTAGCAAATGTAATGAGCTGTGCTAGATGCTATCTGATTTCTAGTTGTATTTTCATTTCTTCTTTTATTTCTTATCTTGTATTTTATTTTATTACAATGGGTTCTTCACAGATACATTGTGGACCACCTGAATGAAGTTCATGAACTACTGGTGAGCCTGACCACAGTTTGGGAACCCTTGGTCTGTACTAAGTTTGGACCCAACCTCACTGCCTTTTTCATTCTGTACTAGTTGTATACATTTATACTATAACAGCATGGTACACTGTATAGAACTCCCAAGGTTTGCCACGACTCAGCCCCAGAACCTACTTTGAATTCCACGAATATGCAAAATAACAGAATGGTTGTGTGTGCCTCTGAACATGCGCAAAGCGCATTTCCAACACCACTGAGCAACAACAAACCATACAACTGTGATCAGAGCAGAATTGAGTCAAGTGCTGTGACCCCCCCCTAGGCAGACTTGGGCTCAAGGGCCTCTCAGTTTAGAGATGTAGCACTGAAGTACACAGGCAACACAAATGTTTAGCCAATATGCAAGCATCTAGCAGTTACTGTAAAATGCAAAGTCTGCTGACTATCCTGTTCAATTTCGAGGACGCAGATGTACACGGAAGCCATAATGTTATGCAAAATGCACAGGATGTTATTAGTGCCTGACACATGTACACACAGCTGTTTGCAGAGTCAATAAAAGGAGATGAGATCGAGGTTTTTTTTGAAAAATCCAGACCTCCCAACCAACATTCAGAATTCTTGAATGTCCACTACTGTCCACAAGTAGCACCATCACAACTGGCAAAGTTGACTAAAGGATGGTGAGTTACAGAAAGGCCAACAACAAAGTTTACTCACACCTCTCACCCCTTATCTGGCCACACCCATCCTCAGTTTCCCTGCTTCTTGCTTTTCCATACTAAATAAATTTATATTCCCTCACACCCAACTTCACAGTCACAATTTTCACTCTAGGAACCCCCACGCTTACTTGGTTCATACCAACGCTTGGCTTAGTGAAGGCTTTCTCAAACTAGGCCCTCCAGATTTTTTGGCCTACAACTCCTATGATCCCTAGCTAGCAGGACCAGTGGCCAGGGTGTCTCAAAACATCTGGAGGGCTGAGTTTGAGGAAGCCTGGCTTTAGTGTTATGTCAGAACTGGGCCTATACATGGCTAGGGCCATCCGCACGGCAAGCAGTTTTCAGATTTGTGAAGGCTCTGCCATGCAGACACGTTTCCAGATAGGGAGCTAAATGTGAGATGTGGAATAGCTTGTTGACTGCTAATATGCAGGAGGTTACCAGAGACTTGAAGAAAATGAACAACTGCTTCGTACTCCTACAATGGTCTGGAGGAAGCAAAGGTCACCTGAGCATTATCAGCCAGTGTCTATTCCCAAATCCATCAAATCACCTTAGACTCCCCCACTTAGAGAATGCCATACTGCCCCATTTCCCAGACTGCAAGATAAGCTGCTACTATGGCTTGGAGTTATGGGGCACCTGGTGCTTTTTTTTCCTGGGGGGATGCATACCCATAAACATTTTGTGAATCTAAGTTTGGCCTCATTAAGCGGCAGTATTCCAATATGAGTAGGAAAATGAGAGTACCCCTAAACATTTTTTTAGGAAAAAAAGCACTGGGGGCACCTGAGCATGCAAGTACCGTGGCTGAGGTGTGTTTGAGAAGCTGCATTTACTATAAATAATGATTTTATTATATTTATGGTAGATATCTGAATGATGTGAGAGAGTTGGCATCACACAATGTTCTGGGCAGCAGTTCCAAGCATAACATATTACCAGTTTGCGGGGACCGGGACGGGGGACAGACATTTTGATACTAGAAGGAACAGGAGGAATCTCCTTTTCTTCTCTCCCCTCCCTCATAATGTCTTGTAGGGCTTGAATATCCATGGTTAAAGAAGAGCATTGCATAGCACAATAGCAATTTCAGAAAAAACTTTACAGTGTAAAGTCAGTTGATTGAAGGCTTTACCCCAGTGATTTCTCAAACTAAGAAATGGGAAGATAAAGAACAGCTGTTCAAAAAACAATATGCAAGAACTTATTCTTCACCACGTTAAGAAGACTGCCCTTTTTCTGAAGGAAAATATTATGCTGTTTTAAAGAAATACAGCTGGCCTGAGTTTATGAAACTTGAATTATCTTTCCTTGGAACCCGATCATCAGAAAGCTGGAAGAATTTCACTGCACAGCTCTGATCCAATTTCCTCCAGCATGTTTCCCGATTCTGACTTCAGTAATAAAAATTGAGCATGTGGTCACAATTTGGCCTTAATTCCCATTAGCAGAGGTGAATACTGAAACCAGGACTTTAGCTGACAAACTTCAAGGTACAACTTGCAAATACCTGAAATGGTAGAAGGGTTTTTGAGCACAGACAACTCCAAGTCACCGTCTCCACCACGCCCCTCCCCCGCCTCAGAGAGAACAGTTAACGTAAATCAAACCACATAAAAAGGGCTTTGAGTAGTTGTGTGATGAAAATTTTTAATCTGTTTGCATGATTCCCCAGAGTTTTCAGTCTGAAAATGAGAGACCGTGACCCATGACAGTTTTACCTACCTAAATATTCTTGCTGTGAAGAATCAGGGCAAAATGTTACTTTATTTAGCTACTCTGGCACTGTTGAGTTTTAGCTATGTGAACCGTTGGACAGTATCAATGAAAATACGTAGATCAGCACTTACATTAAAGTTAAATCACCAACATTTTATTTTTGTTAAGAGAAAAGACAACGGAATGAATGATATGCTAAACTACAACTCCAAAGCTTCCAAGCTTGTTTGAAAGTACAGTGATACCTTGGGTTACATACACTTCAGGTTACATACGCTTCAGGTTACAGACTCCGCTAACCCAGAAATAGTGCTTCAGGTTAAGAACTTTGCTTCAGGATGAGAACAGAAATCGTGCTCTGGCGGCGTGGCAGCAGCAGGAGGCCCCATTAGCTAAAGTGCTGCTTCAGGTTAAGAACAGTTTTAGGTTAAGTATGGACCTCCGGAATGAATTAAGTACTTAACCCGAGGTACCACTGTAGAGTAACAGAGAAAAACACATTGATGCAGGCTTATCACAGCCCATGCATGATGGAGGCAGGATCCTCAAACAACAGGTGGCATCTCACTGCAGACAGTCCCCATGCACTCAGGTCCTAAAAGCTGACTGGAAATGTAGTCTTTATAAAAACCCAGCAACCTAATCATGGTTGGGAAGACAGAGAGATGTCTTGGAAGGGGTTTGAAAACCCCTACACACACAGGAATTCTTTATTTCAACCAATCTTATACTTAAAAGGGCAATGCAGCTAATGCTTGTCTAACCACTTTTCATTACGTTTTATAATGTCCGCCCACCTTAAACCTTAAGCTCTAGCCAGTTCTCCACAGACAGACAATGTAAAGAACAGTAACCGTAATATATTACACAACTGGACAAGATCGCATGGATTTTACACGCCAACCTAAGAGAGGCTATTTGGAAATGACTTTCCACATTCTTATTTAAAACTTAGAAGTAGGAAGGCCGTCGGGCAGTTTTAAGACTGAACTGCTTTCCAGTTTCTGGGCCAGAGAAATTTTAAGGTTTGGGTTTTACATGCACTTTAGAGTTTTGTTTCACTTCTGTACCCAAAGGGAAACTCTCCCTTTGCTATACTGTGATTGTCTGTGTGCACCTTGACAGTCACATTTAAAACCTACTCACAATAGATTCACTAAGTGAAGATCAATAATGGATTAAAAAATAAATAAATAAATTCAGGCATTATGCTGAGAATGCAGGCCTGCCATCATTTTCTAAAACAATCTTTTAAATGTTGCGGAGGTAGCAGGTCAGGGGAGGATGACTTGCAAAATCTAGTAAGAAAACAGATGTAAACTCTTAAGCAGGAATGGGAAGCAAAAGTAGTTCGCAAGGAGCATATTAGGGCTTGTTAGCTCCCAAATGAAAAAGTAAATTAAGACAAAATTAAGGTATTTGAGGCAAACCAACCCCAATCTTCCCATTATGCCTTTGATCAAGGTTTGCTTCAGGATTTTCAAACTATAAATCTAGCTACCTTTAAGTATTTAAGAAACAATCAGAAAAGGCTGGTCAGTGGAACTAATTCCTCATACTGTACCATAAGGATGTGGAACCTGTAGCACTCCAGATGTTGGTCTCCCACCTCCCACCACCCATTTACTGTTGGGCATACAGACAGAAGCCGATTGGAAGACAGAATCCAACAAAATCTGGAGGGTCACAGATTCCCCATCTACACTCACTTACTGTTCTAACTATTTTGATATATTTCATATAACACAGCACTGTACCACACAAAAGTAAGAAGTAGAAGGACCTCTGTACAGAGGACTTACTACAATAAATGAATGAAACATAAGGAAGATAATCAATTACCTTTGGTTACTAGAGTTAGAAGACCCAATGTGCAAAGAGAAACAAGATGTGTTGAATATGAGATAGAAAAGTTTAAGCAGAAGCACGGGTAGGAAATACAAGTGATGCTGGGTTCCCTGAAATAGTACAACTTTGGAAGTAATAGTACCCCTCTATTCTGCCTTAGTCAGACCACACCTGAAGTACCATGTCCAGTTCTGGGCACCACAATTTAAGAAGGATATTGACAAGCTGGAACATGTGCAGAGGAGGGTGATCAAGAGTCTGGAAACCAAGCCTTATGAGGAACAGTTGAGGGAATTGGGTATGTTTAGCCTGGATAAGAGGTGAATGAGAGGAGATAGGATAGCCACCTTCAAATATCTAAAGCACTGTCACATGGAAGATGGAGCAAGCTTGTTTTCTCCTGCTCCAGAAGCTAGGACCTGAACGAATGGATTCAAGTTACAAGAAAGGAGATTCCCACTAAACATCAAGACGGTAAGAGCTGTTCTACAGTGAAACAGACTCCCTCAGAGGTTTTTAAGCAGACACTGGATGGCCATCTGTCATGGATGCTTTAGTTGAGTTTCCTGCATTGCAGGGGGTTGGACTAGATGACCCTTTTGGTCCCTTCCAACTCTTCAATTCTATGACTCATCCTGAAGGCTTAGTATAATCAGTCTAGGATGAGGGTAAGGAGTTTCTGTCTTGCTGTATTTTAAAAGGCAAAACATACGATTAAATTCAAGTGCTGCTTATACAGATAGGTTGCTGTGTGCAGAGTTACATTTCCATCAAAATACCCCACTGAAAAGCCCTTGCTTTATGGTTTTACTCAAGACACCTACTGGGTGCAGTAAGTAAATCTGAACGAAGCACGCTAAAACCACTGCCTGTAACCAGAGCAATGAGTTTTACAACAAACCCAGTATGAACAACTTTAGGCAAGTATGGGAATAAATTTTGTAGGACCGCCTCATTAAATGTGATGCGAAGAATATGTATTCACTGAGAATACCGCATGCACTGATATGACTTGCTGTATAAGCGTGTCCTAGAATGTGTATTTCTTATATCTAAATTTCAGAATGCATTGTTCTGCTACCACAGGAATGCTGAAACTGAGCCTGTTTTTCTTAAACGTTTCACGCAACAGAGCCAGACCATCGGTCCCAAGATTATTCTTTATTGGCAAAAGTGACTATATAGACTAATAAAAAGCATCTGAGCTTGAAGGCAAGGAGGAGGAGGAGGCTTAATGCTTCAGCTCCCAGTAGATGTTGTGAACCAAGCAGACTTTTGTTGCTAATCTACAACAATCCAAGAAACTTTGCTAGTAGGCAGGCATACTTCATACAAGCACAGAACACGTAAATCAGGCATCCCCAAACTCGGCCCTCCAGCTGTTTTGGGATTACAATTCCCATCATCCCTGACCACTGGTCCTGTTAGCTAGGGATCATGGGAGTTGTAGTCCTAAAACAGCTGGAGGCTGAGTTTGGGGGTGCCTGACGTAAGTTGTGAAGCAAAGACTGCTAGATAACTTAACTCTTAACATCAGGCTCTTAACAACATTTGACAAACTCGTGGTATGAGAGTCGTGATCTGTAGAAAATGAACTTTTCCAAAACTTCTAATCAAAGCTTTTATACACAAAGGAATGCTCACAAGTATTCACATTACAGTGGTACCTTTGGTTGTGAACGGGATCCGTTCTGGAGGCCCGTTCGCAACATGAAAAGAACGCAACCCGCAGCGGCACATCTGCACATGCGTGGATTGTGATTCACCATTTCTGCACATGCGGTGAAACCCGGAAGTAACCCTTTCCAGTACTTCCGGGTCACCGCGGGACATATCCTGAAAGAACGTAACATGAAGCGGACGTAACATGAGGTATGACTGCATAGACCTCCCTCTGCTCCCACCTACTGAAGCAAGCAGAAATCTTTTGTCGGCCCACAGGATGCAAACCAATGGATTCAAGTTACAAGAAAGGAGATTCCAACCAAACATCAGGAAGAACTTTGTGAGGCTAAGAGCTGTTCTGGCAGTGGAACGGATGCCCTTGGAAGGTGGTGGACTTGCCCTCATCGGTGATATTTAAGCAGAGATTGGATGGCCAGCTGTCATGGATGATCTATGTCGTTGAGATTCCTGCATTGCAGAGGGCTGGACTAGCTGGCCCCTCAGGGTCCCTTCCAACTCTACGATTCTGTGATTCTATGAATCAGGCAGGTGGGGGACTTCAGAACTGGAAAAAGAGGTGCAAGAGAAATTTCCAGGTTGTGACACTGTGACCCAGTCCATAATAAATCATGTTCTGAGCGCTTACAGTCGATGGCCATTTCACACGGGGGTTCCATTCCCGGCCCCCAGACATGTTGGCAGTGCGCATATTAGTTCCCCTGTCCCGTTATACCCTTGTGATGACACATTTTGTAACATTTTCGGTCACTTCTGGGTTTGTGTAATAATGAAGCTATTTGTTCAGCGATAAAGATTTTCAGAATAAGAAGAATTTAACTTCTGAACAGAGGGAGCATAGCACGTCACAAGACACATTTAAATATATGACGTGATTCAGTGGCAACCCTAATACTCACTGTTTTGCATGAGGGTGGAGCCATTCAAATCCCGGTAATGTGAAATGGAAACAATTATTGATCTCTGTAAACATCACAGAATACTTTTATTGCAGCAAAATGAGATTCAACTAGATCTCTCAAACACACACACACACACACGCGTGCATGCAGTATTTAAGGATCAGAAACAATGCAATAAAATGTATTTTTTAAACAAAAAAACAACTATTGCAATATATGTTAAGCTCCCTCTATCCTGTACTGTATATTAACCGAAAGGGTTTTAAGTGCCGAAAAAGGAAGCCTTAGGGCTCCCTTGTTCGAAGTGAGACACCAACAATGCAACCTGCAGAGCCCATGCTGGTCTTGCAGTCATCCATGTCAACTGTGGAAGCTGGTGGGAATCAGCTCAGGCAGAAACGCTTGGCCTGAGTGGGCTGGCCCTCTAATTAGAGCCATGTGAGCATACTCAGAGACATCAGCCTGAGATTAGCTAAAATTCAAGGCTCAATGGCTGATAATTAGATTTCTAGTTCTGGAGATATGGTTACGAGTTTGCATAATAAAATGACATATCCATCTTTCTTAGGTCAGAACTTGAACATAACTAACTATTGCAGTGATAAATGACTCCCTTTGTTTAACATCTGACGAGCAATCGTTTTATCGGATATAAAATAGTCAAACAGGACCAAATTAAACTTAATTCCACCTAATGGAAATGGGAGCTGGACAAGAGCCATTGACATTTCTAGCCTTTCCTTAAGAGTCCAACAAACCGCTTTTGCAGAATCAAACTTCCTAAAATATTTCAGCATAACTGGATTACAATAAATTCAATATTCTTGGAGACTTGAATGTCTCCATAACAAACACTCAGGGGCAGTAGGATTGCACAGCAGGAAAGCAATCTCTGTGGAATTCAAGACTGCCATCTCCCTACACTGCTAAATTGTGAAGAACGCGAAATCACACACCCCTCCAATACGTTTCAGGATAATTTATTTATGCATGTTTACATAGGGTCCAATCCAGACTGAATTTGCTGCAGTTCATTTAAATCCGACTGCTTTCAAGAGGAACTGCAATTAACTTTGTCGGCATCCAGCCCAAAAAAGTTTAAGTGAAATCACATGATGAATCTGAAGACAACCTTAGTTTTATTACTTATTTGAAGCATTTTTGTTCCAATCATTACTCTGTTTTATTTCAGCCAAAAAGCCTTCCTGAGCCATTTGCAAATATCAATGATAAGGCAGTCTCTTTCCCCAGCTTTCCAGACTTAATGGACATGGCACAAAAGGGAAATAGATTGGGTCTCGGGAGGCGGACAAGAAAGCTCAGACCCTCTTTCTTGTTTCCCAAGTTCTTGTAATGACTGGCTGGAGTGAAAATATATGGAAAGAACGAACACAAAGTTGTTTGTCTTTCAGAGACAAACCCCACAATTTCATTTCTCCTCGTCCTGTACATAGGTATCTTGCTGACAAGTATTTCTACTGAAGAATCAGGGAATACAGTAGGTCAGAATGCATCAAATTCTACAGTTTAGTTATAAGGAATGCAAGGTGAATGATACCATATTGCTCTACAAAGGAGCATATAGACAGGAAACGTCAGTTTTCTCCTCTCTCCCCAGATATTAACATCAACAAAAGGATAGTGTCCAGATTATGGGAAGTAATTGTACTGCTCTATTCTGCCTTGGTCAGACCACACCACAACTGTTTTGGGCACCACAATTTAAGGAGGATATTGACAAGCTGGAACGTGTGGAGAGGCTTGGTATCTGGAAACCAAGCCTTATGAGGAACAGTTGAGGGAGTTGGGTATGTTCAGCCTGGATAAGACAAGACAGAGAGGTGATATGATAGCCATTTTCAAATCTCTAAAGGGCTGTCACATGGAAGATGGAGCAAGCTTGTTTTCTCCTGCTCTGGAGGATCGGACCCAAATAAACTTATAAGAAAGGAGACTTCAGGAAGAACTTTCTGACAGTAAGAGCTGCTTGAATGAACTATTTTGGAAGATGGTGGATCCTCTTTCACTGGAGGGTTTATAAGCAGAGGTTGGATGATGATCTCTTTTAGTTGAGAGTGCAGCATTGCAGAAGGTTAGATGATCTCCGGGGTCCCTTCCAACTCTACAATTCTATGATTATTGCCGGATATTATCAACTTGATCAAGAAATCAGACCAAAGCTCTAGCATATTTTGCTGATTCCCTATCCAATTACAAGCAGCAGATGAAGTAGGCACTTGCCTATGAAAGTTCATAGCACAATAAGCATGCTCATCTCCAAATGTTTAGCAGCACACTTCAGTGTTTCTGCTATATCCTACAGCAGACACATCTAGTTATTCTTCTGGAACACAGCATTCAAAAGAGCCAGATTCTCTGTGAGCCTAATGGAAATTCAATGTATGAAGCAGCTGAGGGATCACATATCAAACGTGTTCATGTTTTTTCCATACAGCAGTGAAGTGCAAGAGCCCCTTCATAAATTCTTTCTTTTCAATGTTGGATGAAAATAACTGCAGGGTGACTAGATTAATCCTCTATTAGTGTGCCTGAGAAATAGCATTCCTTACCAATTATAATTAGTGACATCACTACAAACATCAAGTCAAGCACCCAATGAGCATTTTGAGAAGTCTTAAAAAAACCAAACCCACTTCTCTCTCTTCTTTCATTACTGTTAGATGCTAGACCTGTCTGTCACATTTTTAAAAGTTACCACCTATGAAGTTTTCATTCCCTGCAGACCTAACAGAAGCTCCAAAGGCCTTCTAAAACCTGACCTTGCTAACGATATCTCTGTGTTTCAAGGTTATCCAAACAAGCAAGGCACGTCCATCCCCTCAATCCAATATCGCTGATTTAGGGTCCTCACTATCAGCAGAGTTATTACCAGTTACTGCATTATCTTCGTCTATAAGCACACACAGATGGACTTTATGGTTTCCATCAAGTGAAAACAGAAAGAAACTTACCGGTTCTACTACCTTAGTAAGAAAAGAAAATGGGTGGGGCTATTTGAAGGGGTGCAGGAAAAACACCAACCAGGGAATTAGTTTTGATAATGTAAACACCTCTAAGTTTCTTTTGAACTTAAAAGGCCCATAACTGAATACTGATCTCTTTACTATTTGTTATTGTAGCTGATTGTTAACTTCTGTCCTGCCAATCTTTCCTTTGAAGATATTATGTGGGACGCAGCCTGATGTAAATGGGCCTACATACAGAATGAGGGACCAAACTAGATCGTACACAGTAGAAACATGTAAGATCAATGGGCGGGAGGGAAACTGTTTTCAATGAAAAGATGTGGCTTTCGAAACCCCCCCATCAGTGGACAAACAGCTTGGGGGGGGGGGTGATTTTTAGCTGCAGATAGTGAGAGCTACAAGGGTTAAGCAGCCCCTTCCTTCCCCCACCCCTCTGGATGCCCTTCCTCCACTTCCCATTTTGCTATCTTCCACAGCTGTTTTTCATTATTTTTATTTTTCAAAACCATCAGGAGAATGGTACATATGTCCTCAGTGTAATGTCTAATCCGGCCCTAACCACCCTGAATCTCTTTTTCAGCACCATCATTCCGGGTTTGACCCACACTGCGGGAAACTCTGTGATTTGGCTAGTCTTGCCAAGAGAACATTCAAAACCGTTTCCAACTGGTGATGTCCTTTGCCCTTTGCCTCTCTGTTCTGAACAGGGCTGGCCCAACCATGAGGCAAGGTGAAGCAGCCGCCTTGGGCAGTGGAAGCTGAAGAGGCAGTGCAACATTGCCTCCATCACCAGCAGAGAAGTGGTGCCAGCAGCGACACTGGTTTCCGGCGAGACCTCGCTAGAGTTCACTGAAATCTCACAAGATCTCACTGGAACCCAGCACTGCTTCTTCACAGGTAAAGGGGAAGGTGGGGTACCACCTCTGCAGTAAATCTGGCAAGTGCTGCAGTTTGATACAGGGGGCAGTACATTCCCGTTTCAACTCAGGTGGCCAACTGGGACACAGTGCCCCCAGTTCCGTACAACATGCGAGTACAAAAATGGTCTTGCCGCTTATGTGAAAAATAAAACTCTTTCAACAACTTGGTTAATTTGACAGAGATTTGGGACTCTCTATCCATCTGCTTCAATCTTGTCAATATTTTCAGGAATAAAAAATTATGTGCTTTGGTTTAGAGTGTGGAGGGGAAGCACTCACAATCACCCCCTGCATATCCCCAGAGACACCAGCTCCCCTTTCCTGCGCCCCTTTTAACCCTGTTCAGTTAGGCACCCCATACAAGCAGGGTTCCCCAGCAAAGGGAAGATTCCAAGCTGTGTTCAACTGAATGCAGTTGGAATATCCCTGCAGATCAGGCATAGGTAAACTCTGGCCTTCCAGATGTTTGGGACTACAATCCCCATCATCCCTGACCACTGGTCCTGTTAGCTAGGGATGATGGGAATTGTAGTCCCAAACATCTGGAGGGCCGGAGTTTGCCTATGCCCGCTGCAGACTGTCACATGTCAGAAGATAAACCATGCATCAACATTAAACACCTCTGGAGAGCAACAGGAAAAGGGACCATTGGAGAAATCTTTGTGCAACTCTTCTGTTCAGCTGAGGAACTGAAAGCTAGATTTTCTGAGGTCTGCTCACATGAGTTTACAGCAAAGAGTTTACAGCAGGATCTGCCATTTAAAAAGTGACATTTTTCACCAAGCACGTTTTTAAAAATCCCATTTTCTTCTTCTCCTTCTTTTGTTGTTGTTTTTATAAATTTAAAGTTTACTGTCATAAACACTGGCAGCCCGAAACCAAAATCTGTTTTTGTTTCCAAAGGCATGCACATTTGTTAGTTATTTAGAAGAATCTCATGCGGGCTAGGGTAATGAACACAGCTATGTTTGTTTTAAATATAAAGAAGTATATAGATCTGGTGGATTTGTACAGGAAAGGCAAGGGTGGGGGTTTTAAATATCAGGCCGTTCCAGATCTGAAGGAAACCTTTCTTCTTTCACTATGTATGCTTCCTTCCCAACCATATAACCAAACTCCTCTGCCTAGGCTTTACAAATGCTACAGGAAAGGAAGATTAGAAAGAGGTAAACAAAAATTAAGGTAGGGTGATTGTTACCGTTTGCAATACATTACTGCCATGGAGAAAAGCGTATAGAAATAAAACAAATTGTCCCATTTTACATATTGTGGAATTTCTTGAGCTGCTGCATTCACTGAAGGTTTGTTCCACAGTAGCTCGGACTTAAGTCTTTCAGGACAGTGGCACCTTCCCTGTGGAACGTGCTGGCCACAGATGTTGTATAGGCTCGAACCTTGTACTCATTCCCCTAGATGCTAAGGACTTTTTCATTTGTATAGGCTTTCTCAGAAGGATGAGTTTACTCGGGGGAATTTTGAATGTTGATTTGAGAATAGTTTTTATCTGTTTTCATTTTTTTTTAATTGCTGTATGCAGCTTTTGTATTAATGTGTGATCTAAACCACTGAGCCTCTTGGGCTTGCCAGTTGAAAGGTCGGTGGTTCAAATCACTGTGATGGGGTGAGCTCCTGTTGCTCTGTCCCAGCTCATGCCAACCTAGCAGTTCGAAAGCATGCCAAAAAGTGCAAGTAGATTAATAGGTATCGCTCTGGCAGGAAGGTAAACGGCGTTTCCATGTGCTGCTCTGGTTTCGGTGTTCCACTGTGCCAGAAGAGGCTTAGTCATGCTGGCCACATGACCCGGAAGCTGTACGCCGGCTCCCTTGGCCTGTAAAGCGAGATGAGCGCCGCAACCCCAGAGTCATTCACGACTGGACTTAACTGTCAGGGGTCCCTTTACCTTCACCTTTAATGCTTTAATAGAATAAATAATTCTGAAGCTGCAACTGAAGCTTCCTGTAACTCAGGAATAATGTCTAACTCCAGTCTCCAAGAAAGTGAGCACCTCTGCATCGCAAAAAGAAGGAAATGTAGCGCACTCAAAAAAGAGGGGAAAGGCACAGATTTGCATAAAATGTATTACTGCTGCAAGCTAAACTTGAAATGCAACACCGGAGGGTTGAGGGAAACCTATGGTTGTCCAGATGTTGCCCACTGCCTACTCTCATGAGCTCTAGCCAGCATGGCCAACAGTCAGGGTGATGTGAGGTATAGTCCAAAACTTCTGGAAGACTGCAGGTTCCTCACCCCTCTGCTACACCATTATAATACAATCTCTGGAATATGTAGTGAAGCTTATTAAATAACTCCTAGTGTGGTCATGACTGAAATGAAGAGGCCCTTGGTAGAGCCAGCAGAGTTCCAGGATCTATTCCAAACACATCTCTGTAGCACCTTCTTCCGTTGCTTCTCCACTAATCATTTGTTTTGTACTTGCGCCAGAGTATTGGTTGAGTGTTTATGAAGCAAGAGTTCTCTTGTGGTGAAATCCCTCTGCGCAAAACAATAATGCGATTTTAAGTCTTTAACAGCATCTAGCTTGTTTCAATACCGAAGAGCGTATGTTTTCAATGCTAGCCTAATAAACAACAAATGCAGCAATGCACAACTCTACTCATTTAATGTCAGGACATGAAGCGCCTTATTTGTGGCTTCTTATTAATGATGAACAGTGGCTTCTTCCACAAGCATCCACCATAAACCCAAAGGACTACTTGCAGTAATGCATAAAATTAGGGTAAACGTACCACCAAAATGCTCCAGCACACAAAGGTGGAATGCCAGTTCATTGAAGGCCTACCTGAAGACCTGTGCATGTACTATAAACTAACTGACCGGGATTCATTCTTTGGCCCAGAGAGCTGCTGGTACAAAAGCAATGGAAAATCTGAATCAAGGTGTTTGCAAGTGTTTAAAACACTGGAGTTCAGCCCTTAAAAGCTGTACACTGAATTTCACAGTTGGCTTCAAGAGACATGTAGTTAGTCACTACTGGAAACATGGGGACAGACCATAATCTAGCAGTGTTCTTCACAATGTTCTTATGCTAAGAATTACGGTGCAAACAAATAAGTACCTGGAGCAGTCGGCAACCACCAATGTGCTTCAACAGTGCTGCAGCCATGAAGTTCTAATGCTCCTGCCCAGTGGGATTATTCTAGCACAGTCGTTTTGTATCATAAGGAAGGATGAATCTATCCACTTTGGTGTCACACACGTTCTAATTGTGATTTTTACTATTTATTTATTTTTAAAAAGCTGTCACAAAGGTGAGAATTTGAATATGCATTCCCCCCTTATACACATTTTTGCATGCAAATCTGCCTAATGTCCAAACAATTCCCCCGTCCAAACAATTCCCCCGTCCAAACAATTCCCCCTAATATAGCACACATTTGCATGTTATTTTCAAGAAAATATGTATCTTTATACAATTTCCATAATATGCATAAATGTGGAACGTATCGTTTTTGTCAGGAGAACTGCACTGCGAAATTCAGAGAAGCATTATAGGCAGAGATTACATGGTCGCCATTTATTGCCACAAGATATTCAGAAAAAGAACAAGTCACACATGTGCTTTTGGCCAGTACTGTCAACATGCTGCATTTCTAAAACCAGCTTAATTCATTTTGCTATAAATGGAAACCATGCTTTCAGTATATGTGGTGGGAGTTAGTTAAATATATGCTAAAACTTGCCAAACTGCACTTTCTATAAAAGAGGGGAAAGAGCTTCATGAATTGAAAGCAGTGTGCTGGTTGAAAAAGGTAGGTTCCCAGAAAGAAAAACCTTCTTGTAATCACATATCAAAAGTCTAATACCATTTATAAAAACCAGAAACTACTTTATGAATCTGATTGTGTTTACAATTTGGAGCCCAAAGTCTGCCCTCCTATAGCTACTGTTTTATACAACTGTATTTATGGCCTGCAACAGAGCTGACTTCCTATTCATGGTTGGTTTCTGGATTATGCATTCACTGAGTGAATGCTGAGCAGAATATTTCTTTCCCTGATTAGCCTTTTAAACAACAGTACATCTACGCAGAAGAGATATAAACACAAACAGTCCAAAACAAGAATCCATTTCTTGGTCTGAGAAGTTTTTGTAAAGAGTGACAAAAGAACTGTTCCTAAAAGTTCATACACTTGAAAAAAGGGAATCAGACAGAAAGTGTGTAGAATGAGAATACCAAGAAAGAAAAATGTGTGTGCAATTAATCTGCACGTTATTTTTACACTTTTGCAAAGAGTGTAAACCTGTTGCTGAGCAGTTGGCTATGATAAAAAAAAAATTAAGTATCCAGGTCTCCAAGCTAGTCGCAAGGGAGTTTCTTATTTGGTTTATTTATTCATTCAATTTATACCTTGCCCTTCCTCCCAAAGAAGCCCAGGGCAGCTTGTCTTACCACCAGACAAGCTTTAGGTTCATCATCAATGTTGCATAGAATGACAGAATGCTGGACAAACGTATAACCAAGTTGGTGAAGTATTCTCAGTTAAGTAGCCTCCTAGCTGTTCTCCTTCACTTAAGTAGCCAGGTTCTATCTGCTATCAAGCAAAGGAAGTCAGATTCACAACAAATGCTTCTAAACATGATAAGATTTGTATGGCAGACATCTAGTAAGCTGTGCTAATAAAGTTGGACAACAGAGATAAAGAAGTCATACAAGAAAGAAAATGGCATAGGTTTAATATGTATACATGAAATGCTATGTTTGGATGCACTGTATTTAAAATGCAAAGCAGAGACGTTTGTATTAAGCAAGAGAGGTTTGTCTCTAGCTGTAAGTAGCAAAGAAAAGGGTGGACGTTTCTGTTCAGGTTAAATGATGACTCACCCAGAAAACAAGAGATGCCATGTCAGCTCAGCGATGTTGCTACAAGCAACTTGCTTGTATAGGATCTCTCTCTGGGACCAGAGACAGAAAAGTTTATTGAACTGCATTAAGGACTTAAAGGAGATGGGGCAGCATTGCTTGCTGTTAAAGAGCAATGTGTTGTTCTGTACAGTCGTACCTTGGATCCTGGATGCCCTGGAACTTGGATGTTTTGGCTCCCGAATGTCGCAAACCTGGAAGTGAGTGTTCCGGTTTGCGAACGTTCTTTTGGAGCCCGAATGTCCACTGTGCCTTCCTGCAGCCAATCAGAAGCCATGATTTGGTTTTTGAACATTTGGGAAGTTGAACGGACTTCTGGAATGGATTCCGTTCGGCTTCCAAGGTATGACTGTGTTGTTTTGTGGTGGAGAGCCAAGTCATTTCTATTCTGCAAAGGTTTGGATCAGAGATTCCTTTTGCAGCAACTCTAGCAATTGATGCACGGTATATGAAGTCCTAGCTTCTTAAAAGGCATTCTTTAAGTTATATTTATTCCACCTTATTTGTGAAATGGTTGCATTTCTTTTTCAGTAAGTAGTTCTTTAGAAGGAAGAGAGACCAGGAGCTGTCATCTTGGTAGAAATGTTAGATGGATAGAAATGATAGATTCTTTGCATTCTCGTCTACTTATTTTTATAGTAAACATCCCTGTGGACTGTGAAAAGGTCTGCATATAAATCATCTAAATAAATAATAGAAGAGGAAGAGACTTTTTTTAAAAAAATAATGAATGCTCAGAGTTTGGGCCCCATGCTGGCTGTGACTCTGGTACATCAGCGCCCTCTGTGTACATCAGAGCCAGTGTGGTGTAGTGGTTATGAGCGGTAGATTCGTAATCTGGGGAACCGGGTTCGCGTCTCCGCTCCTCCACATGCAGCTGCTGGGTGACCTTGGGCCAGTCACACTTCTCTGAAGTCTCTCAGCCCCACTCACCTCACAGAGTGTTTGTTGTGGGGGAGGATGGGAAAGGAGAATGTTAGCCGCTTTGAGACTCCTTAAAGGGAGTGAAAGGCGGGATATCAAATCCAAACTCTTCTTCTTCTTCTTCTTCTTCTGTACCCATTTCTCGGCAGCTGTGCAGCACTCCTTCTTACCACCTCAAACTCCTGGGTTCTGCCTTCTTTGGTTTACTTTTAAATCTATTATAGACTCTGCAACTAGACCTCCCCCAGGTACGATTCCCATGCTGAGGAATCATTACAGAATCATTATATCCAAGGTGAAAGCAAATCAGACGATTTGTGTATCTAGCCTGTGTTGTCCACCCTGACTTCAAGCAGCTCTCTGGGGTCTCAGGCAGATAGATTTTCCTCACCACATTCTTTCTGTTTCCTTTCAAAAAAAGAAAACCTCATCCCTAAAAAAAAGAACAACCCAAGAGATGCCAGGGATTGAACCTTCTGCAGGCAACACATGTGCTTTTCCATTTGCCTCTGACCCATCTAATAGTAGGCTTTTGACAGTTCTAGTCTCAACTTTCAAAGTAGAGTCAACAAAGCTAGAGAAAGATACAAAGAAAAGACAATAAAAATGGGGATAAGTGCTGAAAAACTTCCATTTATGGAAAGGCTACAATTGCAGAAGGTAGAGCTGGTTTACATCTTGTGCTAAATCCAAATATGCTCCTCCACTTCCTTAAGGTTGAGAACTGCTTTAGGCTATTGCCCTTATATAACACTACTTGAACTCTCCTGCAAGCATTGATGGAGTTACACTGGTGGCTACTTTCCTTTCGTTCCCTGTTTCTTGGTTTCAACTCTATAATCCCAAGTTTAAAAGAATGGCTGATGGGTGATCATATATCTTACTATCCAGGGCCGGCCCTACCATGAGGCAGTGTTAGGCAGGTGCCTCAGGTGGCAAATATTGAAGGGCAATAAGTGGAGGGATCTCTGTGTGTGTGCTATGCAACCTGTCCATCACCCACTAAACTAAGTCACTGTCACTGCTGCTGGGGTGCAGTGGAGGATGTTGAAATAAGATTGAACGGTCTGCTGAGCTTTTGTACCTGGAATGCAACTGGGAAGAGACAATTTATCTCCCTTTGCTTCAGGCAGCAACATGCCTTGGACCAGCCCTGTTACTATCCACTACCAGCAGCAATTCTTTGAAACTCAGAATCATACAATGGTTTCCAAAGAATTGTGAACGGAAACTAATTTGTCATAAACATGTACATGCTTTTCAAAAAGTCAAGTAGTACTGCATTCAACAGCTACAATAATCACTGCTGAACTCTGAAACTCACTACCACATGCTGGGAGAATGGACAGCAATATGAGAAAGGGCTGAGATGGGAAAGGGAATAATAAAGAGCTACTTTTTCCTGCAAAGGTTCTCTAGAAAATCAGCTGTCGAAGCAGAGAATGTCCAACTGGGACTTCCAGCATCCTATCTGTACGGTTTGAAACACGTCACAGTGCCAGATGGTTGCATTAATAGTTGTATTTTCATTATGGAAACAGTTTTGAATGGAAATATTTGTTCTATCTGAATTTATCCAATGCTCAGAAAATCTGGAAGTGCACCTTAAAGAATGTAATTTTCTCTGTGCTGCCTTAAAAGAATGTAAGTTTCTCTGTGCTGTTTGGCAAGATTTTAGAAGAGAAAGAAAGGAGAATACTAGAAAGAAAACTATTCTCTAAAATCAGCCACTCAAGACTTATAAAACCATGGATCTTTAGTTTACTTATCCAGATTGATTGCTTATAACTTCTGATTCTCTAAAAGAAAAAAAGCTTGCACTGTTGCTCTGTGCAAGATACTTCCAAAGGCTAAGATGTTAGATGTCACCATTCCGTTATACATCCCATTACTGATGGGGGGAGGGGAATCCCAGTTCCTCCAATTTTCCATCTCTGCAGCCAGACTCCCTCTAAACAATTTCCTGTGCCCGTTTTACGTTAGAGACTAAATTGTTGCTAATGCAGGAATTCAGTTAACCGCAACCGATAGACAAATACCTTTACTTATCACTAATGGATTACAACACTTGACTGCAAAAGCCATTTAAACCTTAAACAAAAGCACATTCTGCAACGTACGCTTACATCCACAAAACCAGACAGCTGCTGCTACAGCAGATTTTTTTTATTGTGCATGTGAGAAAAACTGCACTAACAATTTAGAGGGCAACTTGGTTTTGTTGTACGCTAGAAAGTTTGAACTGGTGGTGTAGGGTGGTTTTTTTTGTCCTAAAATGAAACACAACAGAAATAATTGCTTGCACTGCAAATGCACGTGAGGCATGGGGGGAAAACATGTTAACTACTCTGGTATTTAAAAGCAAATGTGCATATACATTAGTCATGCATATCGTGTTTATATTAGAGTCACATGGAGACTCTCCAGTTGTGAGACCGCAATTTCACTAGGCAAAGTTCTGGAAAACAACAGTTGTGACACCTTCTGCTAAATATTTGCGCTGGCATAGTGCTACTGCAACACTGGCACAAAACCAAAGCTTGTGGTGCTATATTGCATACATGTTGATAAATATACTCTGCCCTGAGCAGTTATGTGCTGTTGTAACAGTCTTAAGATTGTACTATAGACAATGGATATGCAGCCACAAATGCAAAACTGGGGAGGGAGTATTTTCAGTTTAGTCAGGCCAACACCCTGTTCCAGTAAGCCTAGACATCACTGTGACTATAACACATTTTATAAGGTGCCCCCAGAATCCTTTGAAGCAAGTGAAAGCACAGCAGGTCCTCAGCCAGTCAGCAAACAATTCCACTGATGGTAAAGTAAAATTACAGTTTGAGAGAGTCTTCTGAGTCATCTTGTCCAACTATCTGTTTGATGAAAATCACTGCTGAATATGAATTTCATACGACAGAAATTCAACTATTACAGGATGGTTCCACAAATTTCCTGCATCATATACTATTTTATTTACTATTTAAATCAATGGTACAGAGAGGTAGAGCTTGGTGTCATCAGCATATTAAAGACACCCTCCCCCAAACCATCTGTTAACAGCCTGCAACAGCTTCATACAGATGTTAAGCAGCATGGGTGATGAGACTGAACCTTAACAGTGAAATCCCTATAAATGAAAGTTGTTATTGATACAAAAAAACCTTTTACTAATGGTCAACAATCTAAGCATACATGTTATTATACATTTCATATCTGTAACAATTATGAGATACATACTTTAACACAGGGGTAGTCAACCGTTTTATACCTGCCGCCCACTAATGCATCTTTCTTGATGGTGAAATTTCCTTACCGCTCACCAGTGCTCGATGGAAGGAGGATTCAGATTGTGCCATAGGACCCCCTACCACCCACCTAGAATCCTGAAACGCCCACTAGTGGCGGTAGGGACCATGTTGACCACCCCTGCTTTAACATAACAGCAATGAATTGTAGAGTTGGAAGGGACTGCAACGTGGTGCCGTCAATCACAGGTCCTTGAGGTGGTACAGAAGGATACCATGATTAATGGTACCAAAAGCAGTCAAGAGGTCAAGGAGGGTTGCACTCCCACGGTCCCTCTCCCAACCCAGGTCATGGGCCAGGGTTTCAGTCCCAAAACTATGTCCAAAAGTTGGATTTAAATTGGTCTAGAAATTCAGTTTCATCCAAGCATGCCTGAACCTTGCCTAAAAAAAAGGAACAAAAGCAACTGAGTGATAGTTGTCTAGCACAGGCAAAGCACAGGCTGCAAACTTGGCCCTCCAGATGTTTTGGGACTACAACTCCCGCCATCCCTAGCTAACAGGACCAGTGGTCAGGGATGATGGGAATTGTAGTCTCAAAACATCTGGAGGGCCGGGTTTGCCTCTGCCTGGTCTAGTACTTCAGGGTCCACAGAGGCTCTCTTAAGGAGTGGGTGCATCAAAGCTGGTGGCACAACCCCTTCCACAGCAATACATTAATTGCTCCCTGTGACTTATTAATAGCACCACCAGAGTAGAGAGCTTACTGACATGGACATCCAAATTCTATCAGCTGGGTAAGGGTCTTAGTGGCTAATGTCTGTTACCACCAGAATGAAAGCCCCTTATTTGATCCTCTCCCCATAATTATCCTCTAGAGCAGGCATGGCCAAACTTGGCCCTCCAGCTGCTTTGGGATTACAACTCCCATCATCCCTAGCTAACAGGACCAGTGGTCAGGGATGATGGGAATTGTAGTCCCAAAACAGCTGGAGGGCCAAGTTTGGCCATGCCTGCTCTAGACACACAACCCGCGACACCTACATGGGCATGTTGATTGTGTCAATGGTCTAATAATCCTACCAAGGCTGGTTGGAAGAATGATCCCAAAATATCTCACAATTAATTGGCACAAACTTGTGCAAAAGCAGCAAACTGCTCTTCTGAGCAACGAGGTGACTAAGTGCATCAAGCCAAATAGATCAACAGATCGCAAGACAGACTCTTAGTGCAACACAGTACCCCAAAACCATTAAATATCTTCAGAAACCACATAGTGCTAGCCTAATACAAAGGAAATAAAGGGCATGATAACAAGAGAGCAAAGCAATAAAGCACGTAGACCCTTCAAAGTGCAAGATTATCCTGAGAGACTGAAAGCTGAATGCAAAGATGGTGGTTCTATTTATCCACATGCTGATGACAAGCAGATCGGAGGGCATCATGTCCAGCCTCCCACCCTGGACTCACCTGTATAAATTAGGAAGTATGATGGAAATAAGCAACTCTATGATATCTAAATGGCCTGCGCCTCCAAAAGTCAGTCTTGGAATATTAACTTATGTATGTAGTTCTGTGAGTGGTCTCCTAACTCTTAGCACCTTTAACAAACTACAGCCATGATTGTCTAAAGTGGTACCATAGCTCTTTAAATGTATGGTGTGGATGTGGCTGCAGTAATACAGGCTGCCTTTATTGTAATTGTTTGTATGATTTAATAAATTTTATATGTACATAGTTTTTTTCTAAGAATGTTTAATTGTTTTTTAATGATTGCTTTTTCTATGTTTTTAGCAGTTCTTATTTTTATATGTAAGCCACCTTGAGTCATAAAAAGGAGGGTTGTAAATCGTTGCTGTTGTTATTCTAAATCCAATAGTGAACTTTTTCTTTTCTATTCTGCCAACCATTTTCTTTGGTTCCTTGTTCATATCCTGCTAACATAACCTCTTTCCCCCCTGAGTAAACTTAAAGAGCTGGTGGTTTTCACTTTTTTGACCAGTGATGCCTGCCTCTTTTTCTCTGCATATGCAAGGAGATAACCAAAGCACAACAGGAATAAACTGTGCCTTACTGGTACCTACCTGATCCAATACACTTGTAAAATGCTTTTTGTTAACATAGAACGGGGCTCTCTCTTTCTCCCTCTCTCTTTTTAAAAGAAAACAGAATAGATGCCCTATATTGAGAATAATAGTGGAATAATGCAGGATCCCCTCTTGTGCATCAACCAGTGAATGCCTCAATCCAAAACCCGCAGGAGTTGATCCTGTATTGTGCTTCCAAATTTCCCACTCGCCTTATTTGGAACTCAGTGTGTGCGCGCACGCACATGTTTGTAAAGAACGCCTGAGTGAGCCAATAACAAGCAAACAATATGGTCTATGCTTTTGTACTGTCCATTTTTTCTCACAACACCCACACACTTCAGGCACTGAAAAATTCAGACTGAATCATTTGATATGGCAACATGTGGTGTATGCTTGGAATCTGCTGGCAACCCATCAAGTCCCGTATTCAGCAACCTCCTGCAGTGATCTTTCTCCAAGTCATAATTACCAAAAGGTGACGAATGCTATGAAAAAATATGCTGGTCCACAAGATTCAAAAATAAAACATACAAGCTGCAAAAAAAATAAAATAAAAAAAAATGCTGGTTTTTAAATACTGGTAATTAAACATTGGTTTAATTACACGGTAAGTGAAGGAAATCAGCCCTGAGTGCTCACTGGAAGGACAGATCGTGAAGCTGAGGCTCCAATACTTTGGCCACCTCATGAGAAGAGAAGACTCCCTGGAAAAGACCCTGATGTTGGGAAAGATGGAGGGCACAAGGAGAAGGGGATGACAGAGGACAAGATGGTTGGACAGTGTTCTCGAAGCTACAAACATGAGTTTGACCAAACTGCGGGAGGCAGTGGAAGACAGAAGTGCCTGGCGTGCTCTGGTCCATGGGGTCACGAAGAGTCGGACATGACTAAACGACTAAACAACAGCAACAAGTGAATTAAGATAGAAAAGTGATTTGTAGGCTAAAATTTCTACATAATATGAACTTGGTTCTTTTATAGGTAAACTCCAAATTAGATTACAGTAACAAGTTATATCTGAAGTTACCCTTGAAGAAAGTCCAGAAGCTGCAACTAGTGGGAGAATGTGGCCGCCAGAGGTACAGCTTTTCAAAATCATATAACGTCAGTTCTATGAGACCTGCACTGGTTGCCTATAGACTGCTGCGCCCAATTCACACGCTAACTTACAAAGCATTTGCACACGCCAGGATATCAATCACAGTAATGAGGGTGTGGGAATCAACAAGGTAAGTTTTCCAATCCTGGGATCGCCAACACTGGGCTGCCATTACAGCAGCTGGAGCAGGAACAAGAGCAACAGTATGAGGAAACCATTAGGAAAACCTTATTTTCCTCCTTTCCCCAGCAGAGCACCAGTGCCAAAAGCGCAGCAGGAGGAGGTCTTGGGCTGGGGCCAGAGCTGCATCTGTAATTTGAACACTGCTAAGGCCTTGCTTGCCAAACTATGCTACCCATGCCTATCTGCCTTTATTGATACATCCTTCCCTTCTGCATGAAGGTGTAAAGGTTAACAAATGGTTAGGTATATTTAGCATGCTTATATGCCATTCACTGAATGAACCAAATCCTGCGAAATGAGTGCCTTTCTCAATTATTGTCCTCAGCTGTTCTGACTGTCATCAAGCAAAATAGTTAGGAGTTCCCATAACTCAAGGCCCTGCTATTTATACTGCATAGTCCAGATGGGACATCTAGTTCTAACAGGTGCTTAGTATGAAGGCAAAGGCTATAGGTCAGCTCCTGGCTGCAAAATCAAATAACCTATTTGCTCTCTGACCCCTTTATGGACCATGAAAACAGAAGAGTGAAAATCCAAAACTCAGGTTACAACGTGAAATTTGGAGCCATCAGGGTCACGCATATCCATCGTTGGAGTTTCTGTCATTTCCCTGGCATATTTTCAAACAGCCACCAATGGCCAATGCAGTCACCGATGAAATCAAAACACCATCTCTTGCTTGAGAGGGGACTGTGTGAATAGGAGTGGGGAGGAAATATGACCATCCTCATGATTTGACACATCCCAAGATCGCTACATACTATAGAGACTGAAATCATAGCTTGTTTCAATCTATGACGCAATCTAGTTGCTGTAAGAGAAACACTGGGGGCTAATTTAATCAGAAGAAAGTTGGGCATCTGGTGGGCGGGGCTTGTTTGTCATGCTCCGGAATCAGCCCCTCCCTTCAGTGTGTTCCATATCTCCCCTCAAAGGACCTGGACAAAGGCCTGCTGGAGCCACATGGTCTCTCCTCGTCCTGAACATCTTGATTCCTCTTTCTTCATTTGCAACAAATCATGGAGGGAATCATACTGCGTAAGGGAGGCAACACATAAGCCTTCAACAAGACTGCTTCAAGGCTAAGGCTAAACCAGCACACTGAAACAAGACCCATTGTGACTTTTCTTAGCTCTTTGTAGCACAAAAGCTTCCCAATGTTATCGAAGTTATATTATAGCTATTTTAATAGCTATTATGGCTAACACAGACTGAGAATAAGATGTGGATACTCATGCAAAGTTAGCTGGGCTTTGGGGGATAGCATAGTCCTCCACCAGACTATGTTGAAATGGCTGGAGAGATGTTTCAACATCTTGAAAGGAAAAAAAGAGAAAAGATTGGAGGCAGGGAACCTGAATGAATCAATGGAATGTATGACCTTTTCCAACTCTTCCTTGTGTTATTTAGACCACTGACAACCTGATATGTGCCATACATTCACCAGCGTGCAGAAAAACCTTGGATCTAACTTTACCTCTACAGATTTCTAAACATCCAGTCT